CACCCTGGGCCTGCCTAGGGACTCGCTGGTGTTCTCCAGACCCCCGTGTCCCTGGCTTTGCCTTGCGACAGGGTTCCACTGGCACCTTCAGCCAAAGGGCTCTGCGTCTGCACTGCCGTGTTTCCCCTGGTTTCAGCTCCTCCCTTCCTTCAGTGCCTCCACCTTTCCCTGCTCCCTGCTCTCTGCTTTCATGCCAGGCCTTCCATGCTCCGGAAGCATCCGCTGGATCAAGCTCCCCAGCCCCTTCCCAGCTGGGCTTGCACCCCAGGCCGTGCCCGGGTCTCACCCTGTCCCTGTGCCGGGATACTGGTGCTGTGCGGGGATCTCCTCACGCTCCTTGCGCACACCCTGCCCTCCCGCTCCCTTTCCCCAGGTTCAGCACTATGGAGCCCAGCGGCCTCCTGCTCTACAACGGGCGCCTGAACGAGAGGCATGACTTCCTCGCGGTGGAGATCATCCGGGGGCAGGTCCAGCTGAAGTACTCCACAGGTAGGCCAGGCCCTGCCCGTCACGGGGTTTGTGCTGTGGGAGCTGTGGGAAGGCCTGGGGAGAGCAGGATGCTGCCCTGGCTGAGGCCCGCGCTGAGGGGGATGGGGTTGAGAGGTGTTGGTGTCAGTGGGTGGCACAGAGGACAGGCGTGCTTCTCAGGACCCTCCCTGGAGTTAGGAGTGCGAGTGCAGCAGGGGAGATAGGAGCACGAACCAGGATAAACCCTTTTGAGGTCTCCCCTGCCGTTCTGCCCCACTGTGTCATCAGGAGCTTCATCTTCGGCCTTGCCATGAGCCAGTCTAGAGAGAAGGAGCCACCTGGGAGGGTGTTTGCTATCCTGTTAGTCTCACCCCTGCTGTACCTGTCCTGCCTGCCCCAAGGGGTGTCAGGATCAGCTGCCAAGAGCACTGGGCCCTCGTGTTAACAACTGGGCTCCCATCCCATGGGATGCTCTCCTCCTCTTCCCCTGCATTCAGCACGCAGTGACCATCTTGCTGCTGCTCTGGCTGCGCTGGTCTCCTCAAGGCAAGGCCCAGCAGCAGTGCCAGGGTGCCCTGACCATCAGAATCATAGAATGGTTTGGGTTGGAAGGGACCTTAAAGATCATCTAGTTCCAACCCCCCTGCCATGGGCAAGGACACCTTGCACTAGACCAGGTTGCTCAAAGCCACATCCAGCCTGGCCTTGAAGACATCCAGGGATGATCGGCCTGGACAGGGAGACATCCCGGGATGTTGGCTACCGGTCCCAGGGCTGCGATTCCCCCTGCCCTACCTCAGGGAGCTTGCGTCTCCCCATCCCTGCGCAAGGCCATCAGCAACGCGGAGGGTTTGGTGCCTGCAGGAAGGGTGGGTGTGTCCGGCGTCCCTCAGCGTGCCATCGTCCTGTCTCCACAGGAGAATCCAGCACGGTGGTGAGCCCCTACCTGCCGGGGGGCGTGAGCGATGGGCAGTGGCACACGCTGCAGCTCCACTACTACAACAAGGTACGTGCGCCCTGGCTGTCCCCCCACGCGTGTGGGGGTCTCCCTGCGAGGTGTGAGCGAGCGGCTCTCCTGTTCTCCGGCTCTGCCCCATGGGGGAGGCTCTGGAGAGACGGTGAATGTGGTTTCCTGCCCTTGGGATGGGCACAGTAGAGCAGTCAGCCGGGTGCGGGGGGAGATTGACCCTCAGGACCACACTTGGAGGTGGCGGGAATGTGCTCAGCACAGCATCCTGACACGTATCCAGCTCTGGTGCTGCTTGCTGGGCTCAGCCATGGATGTCCTTCCAGCTTGGCTGCCATTCCAGCAGCGCAGCGGTGCCAGGGCCACGCTCAGGCCCTCGCCTTGCTGTCGTGCGAGCCCTTGGGTGCCTGGGTCTGAGGGTACGTGTGCTGCTAACACCCTGCATTTGCTTCCAGCCCAAGGTCAGCGCGCTGGGCGTGGTGCAGGGCCCCTCCAAGGACAAGGTGGCCATCTTGACAGTGGACCAGTGCGATGCCTCAGTGGCCCTGCAGTTTGGCAGCGAAATTGGGAACTACTCCTGTGCCGCAGAAGGTGTGCAGAGCAGCTCAAAGAAGTGAGTTCCTCAGGGGCTGTGTGGGGAGAGGAGCAGGGCACCTGGGTCCTCTGCAGTCAGCCCTTCACATCTCAGTTCCAGGGCTGTGTCCGCCTGTCCCCAGGGATCTCTGCTTCCTAGCCCCTCAAAGTGGGGAGCCAGCTGGCCAGCCTGAGGTCACTGTGGCTCTTAAAGCCCGAGGCTTCTGTCCTTGCAGGTCCCTGGACCTCACAGGTCCCTTGCTCCTTGGAGGGGTCCCCAACCTGCCGGAAAACTTCCCTGTCACTCACCGGGACTTTGTGGGATGCATGAGAGACCTGTACATCGACAGCAAACGCATTGACCTGGCTTCCTACATCGCCAACAACGGAACTGCTGCAGGTACCAGTGCCTCTGCCGCTGCCAGCCCCTGCCCTAGGAATTGCCTCTCCTGCTCATGCAGCAGCACTGCCGGGCTGTCACAGCATGGTGGCAGCACAACTGGAGCCAAGCAGTTTCCCATCGGAGAACGGGGCCTCTAGATCTGCCTAAATGAGCCAGTCCCCAGCCCAGTTCTGGGAATGCCCCCTGGTGCCAGGTGCAGAGCCTGCAGACCTGACCAGTTTTGGGGATGCTAGGCACTCAGTTCAGCTCCACAGTGCCCGTTTTCTGACATAAGGAGCAGTGCCAGCCTTGACGCTCGTCCCTGAGCAGGCAAGGCCTGTGCTCGGAGGCTGAACAGCTGGGCTTGCCCCTCTGGCAGCCAAAGAAGGGGCTGGGGGCAATGGTGTCTCCCCATGGGGGTTGGAGGGAGGTGGCGAGCTGGTCAAAGCTGATGTGGGTGACTTTGATACCTCCAGGCTGCCATGCCAAGCACACGTTCTGTGACTCCAGCCCCTGCAAGAACGGCGGCACCTGCTCTGTCGGCTGGGGGACCTACTCCTGTCTCTGTCCTGTTGGCTTCGGGGGCAAAGACTGCCGCCACCGTGAGTGAGCGGGCACTGCTGGGCATGGGCAGGGTGGGTACGGGCAAGGCTGTGCTGGGTTTGCTCTGGAAGCTGGATAAGGGGTCTGTGTGAGACAAACAAGCCCTGTTGTCCCCTCTAGTGCTCCCTGTGTAGTCCCCATCCCTTCTCCTCACCTCCACTTTCCTTTCCAGCCATGCACCATGCCCACTATTTCCAGGGCAACAGTGTCCTGACCTGGGACTTCAAGACGGATGTGAAGATCTCAGTGCCATGGTACCTGGGGCTGGCGTTTCGGACACGCCAGCCAGACGGGGTGCTTCTGCAGGCCTATGCCGGCCAGTACACCACCCTGCTCTGCCAGGTAGGGCCATGGCCTCAGCCCCAGGGGAGCTGGAGGCCCCTGTCCTCCACGTTGACCCCAGCCCGAGTGGAGGGTGGTTGTGGGTGCTCAGCAGGGCTGGGTTTCCCTCGCCATGCTCAGAGAGGGGATAGACTGGGTGCAGCCAGAGTTGGCAAGGCCGTCGCTCACTGCTGCCATGTCCGGTTCCCTCCCTGCAGCTGGCTGGGGGGCTGCTCTCCTTTGTGGTGAGCCGGGGGGCTGGGCGCAGCACCAGCCTCCTCCTGGACCAGCTGCAGCTCAGCGATGGGAGATGGCATGACCTCCAGCTGGAGCTGCGCGATGTCCGCAGCGGGCGAGACTCACGCTACGTCATCACCCTCACCCTAGACTTCGGGCTCTACCAGGTAGATTCTGCTTAAGACCCTGGCCCCAGGACAGGAGCTGGGGAGGTGCTTGGCATATACGGGCTGGACTGGGCCTCCGTACCCTCAAAGAGGGCTGGGGCAGGGCTGATACCAGTTGCACCATGTTATTCCCCTTCTGCAGGACACAGTCGTCATTGGGAATGAACTGCATGGCCTGAAGGTGAAACACCTGCACGTGGGGGGAGTCCTGGGCTCTGGAGAGGTGCAGAATGGGCTGAGGGGCTGCATACAGGTGAGTCTGTGACTCTGAGCCTTCCCTTTCCAGCAGGTCTGTTACATGGTGGGGTGGAAACACAGGCCTGGCAGCTGCTGCCAGTGTCCATTCTGCTGGTGACACTCTCCCTCTGAGCATTCAAGGCTCTGAGGAGCTGTGGGACAGCCATAAATCAACACAGCAGGGGTGATGGCGGTGGCTGCCCCTGGGGGCTTGTGGAGAGCAGGAGGGCTAGAGCCTTGCATGTCTGTCCTGGCTTCACCGTGAATTTGTCACCTGCGTTGCAGGGTGTGCGACTGGGTGACAGTGTCACCGGGACCGCGCTGCCCAAGCCCAGCCATGCTCTGCGGGTGGAGGCTGGCTGCAGCGTGCCAAGCCCCTGTGACTCCAGCCCCTGCCCAGCCAACAGCGTCTGCAAGGACGAGTGGCAGAGCTACTCCTGCGTCTGCCAGCCAGGTAGGGCTGCAGCACCCTGCCACCCCTCTGGTTCCCAAGCCTTCTGTCTGCTCCTCTCCTGCTGTGGCTCCCTCCTGGCCTGTGACCGCTCTCCTGCCCATCCCTTCGGCGAGCCCAGGGCCCAGAAATCCCCACCAGACACTCATTAGTTTTGGGGAGCAAAATCTCTCCTGAGTCCCCAAAACCCACTCCCTGGTGCTCTGACATCTCTCAGGGGGCTTGCCTTACATGGTGGTCTCTGTCCACTCTTAGGATACTACGGAGGGGACTGCGTGGATGTGTGTCACCTCAACCCCTGCAAGAACAAGTCAGTGTGTCGCCGCAAGCCTGGCTCGCCCCTGGGTTACGTGTGCGAGTGCGGAGGGAACTTTTTCGGGCAGTACTGTGAGCACAGGTGAGATGCGGAGCACAGGGCAGGGCCGTGGCCTCCGTGCCTGGCTCTGTACTGCTCTCTCATCCTGGCTACATGACCAGGGACCTCTCAGTGCCACCCAGCTCCCTGGAGTTGCTGAGCAGCTGGGCTGGTGGGAGAAGGCCCGGGGGATTTGGTGGTTGTAACAGCAGGCATTTCTCTCCCTAGGATGGACCAGCAGTGTCCGAAGGGCTGGTGGGGGAACCCGACCTGTGGGCCCTGTAACTGCGATGTGAACAAGGGCTTTGACCCCGACTGCAATAAAACCAACGGGCAGTGCCACTGCAAGGTGAGAGCAGCTGTGCCCATGGGGACGTGGACCGTGGCTTGCCTGGTGCCCTGCTCGTCCTCGATGCTGTCCCTTGTCCCCTCCGAAGGCCTGCCAGCTGCCCAGGCCCTGCTTGGTGTGCCCACTTCTGGCCTGGATCCCCAACACGATGACAATGGGGGCAGTGGGGATGCTTGCAAATCAGGAGAGCCTGACCCTTCCCTGTCCCAGCGGTCCCCCAGGCGGTGGCCTCGGCGGCTGTCTGATGGCTGTCCCCATCTCCCCCCAGGACTTCCA